GTTCAGGACCATCCCTTTAAAGTGTACAAAAATATGATATATATATAATGACAAGTGTGACAGGATCTCCCCTGGATGCAATCTGAGACTGTGGGACTGCTGTGCCCCCTTCACTCTCTCCAACCTGTGCTGTCTTTCACAATGCTTTGCTAGTGACCAGCAGCAACCCTCCTGGTGCTGTTATCACTCAGCCCAACCACATGGGGAGCCCCACATCTAGCTAGATTCCATGAATGCTCCCAGAGCCACATAAATCACACAAAGAAAGACACCAGCGACAAATCCCCCCAGCTCCCAGCACTGTACCTCAAGAATATAGTGTCTAATTTATTAATTGGCCCACCTCTTCATCAATGGAAAGTGGATACACATAGCCCTTGTGGAACCTGAGCAGATTTGTGAAGCACTTCTCACAAACTCACTGGTAAAGATAAACAGTAAAACAAGTTTATTGACTATAAAAGCTGGATTTTAAGTGATATTAAGTGACAGGTAAAAAGTCACAGTAGTTACCAAAAGAAAAGAAAATACAAACATGGAGTCTCGACTCTCAACCCTATTATACTGAGCCACAACCCGATCAAGCAATTTTTCTCACCTAGTGGATATCGCAGTCCATAATACACAGATTTCACACTAGAAATCTGGACCCTTAGCTAGAATCTTCAGTGTTCTCAGAGTCTTCATTGTTTGTAATGTAGGTGGGTGAAAGAGAAAGACCAGGCACGTGACCCCAGTTTTATACCCTCAGTCTCATTTGCTTGGGAGCACAAGTCCGACATGTCTGGGGGCACTGCTGTGTTTCTAGACAAAGTTGAGCAATTCCCCAGGTGTGGTCTCATGCAGGTGAGTCACTACATTATAGCTCCCTTGCTGGACAATTGCCCTTAACACCTCACCCTCATGTTAATTACTTTCCTTGAAGATGATAAGCATTCCCCTGATACACTAAAGGCATGCTTTATATGTAAAATCATGATGATATAAAAATGAGGACTACAGGGATTACAGGATGCTTCCTCAAGGTATAGAGTGTCACACTAAGGCTCTTTGAAAATAACCTTGGGATTTTTATTCACCTTTTTCCTCACATGACAGACCTCACAGCAATGATGGAACAACAATATGGAAACTTACCATCTACTCCAACTGGATTCTGTGTTGAAGTCTCATTACTTCCATGTGTAAAAAGTAGTTAACGCCAACTACAATACCCAAGATTTCTGGCATTCTTAGTATGTGGTACATCCAGCAAAAATGAATTTCCCTTTTCCTTTTTTCATTTTATGGCAGTCATATCAGACATACAGTTCTTAATTCACTGCACAGGGAATATGTGTTATAAATAAATAATAAAGCTAAGTCTTTATAATGTGTAAAGCAATACTCTGCCAAAAGAAGAGTTATGACGAAGAATAAGTTTAATAAATTATATTTCAATTTAAAAATATGGTATGTTTTTAAATATGGCTATTAAACTATTGCCATGAATTATTTTTAAGAATGTTAAGAAATTGACAAGATCTTTACTCCAAGACATAAGCAAGAATGATCATATATTATAAAAAAGAGAATCCAAGCTGAACCAATTACATTACTTATATACCAAGCAGAAATGAAGCTTTGCAAAATTCTCTGCCAAAACCTTTTTCTATTTAGATGTGTTTTAAAGTAGACTGCACGATTAACTAGCTGAGATTTTTTAAGTAACATTCTCCAGATTTCCATATTAAAATGTGACTATAAAAACAAATAGTATTTTGGGTATTATCCCAAAATATAGTAGATGCAGCTAGGTAAGTAATGTCTCTTGGGTTTAAGGTTTCATTTTGTTTCCTAAATAAATTACATTAGTAAATAAAGACATTTCTGATATGAATAATGGACCCATGACAGATTAATCGGATTATTTTTTCTTAACAGAGTTCTGAAAAGATAAAAATTAATCTTGTAGTCTGAATAATAATAATAATATAACGTAATTATTCTTCCAAATCATATGCTAGAATTTGTTTTCTTTTTTTGTTATTTTATTTTTTCTGGTTTTTGCATTGGTACATGAGATTTATTTTATTTAAATTAATTAGCATGGGACATTCACATTACTTGATTTCTTAAGAATTATTACTTCCTAACAATTATTCAGCAATTTCAACGATGAATACCTTCCTGGATTTTATTTACTTAATTCATAATATGTGGCATATTCAACTCTTTTAAAAAACTGAAGACTCAAAAGACATTTCAAAGATTTTACAAACAAGCTATACAGTATTCAGTTTCTCCTACTTTACTTACTTAGTAAGAACATAAAAAAATCTTGAAGTGTCAAATTCTGCATTCCCTCTACCCTGCAAAATATGTATCGGTTTTAACAGCACCTTCCAACTTTTGTTGTGCTACTGTAACTAATAAGATTACCCCCTCTGTAAGACTACTACTCAGTGTTAAATAGTTTGATAGAATCAGGTCCTAATATTTTAGTAGAGAGCAATACTGTCATCCTGACAGGAGTGTCTGCCTTATTTCTCAAACTGTTAAAATAAATTGATACTTTAAAGAAATTATTTATTTCACAAAATTAAATTTTAGAGAAAATGCTTTAATTCCTTTTAAGACAGTTTTTCTCTCCCTCGTTTAGATAATTAATGCAATAAATATAAATGCCAATGATTTTTATTTATCAGTATAGAAGAAAATGTGCAAACTTTTAAGAGAATATATTAAACATAAAAACAATCCATAAAGTATTCTTACATTTGATATTTTCAATGCACGAAGCTCAGGAAATTTAAATATATGGCTCCCCAGCAACTGAAAATAAACCTTTTTATGCTTTAACTTATTGCCTTCTTAAAAAAAAAATAATGCAGCTGTGCATATAGGGAGCTCCACTTTTGCAGGATTGGGTCCTTAATAAGTTGTCATTTTTAATACCATAATAGATCATTGCATCATAATGTGGTGAAGAATTATGTTTTGGCCTGGCAGCATTTTGTTTCTAATTTAAATATGCCAAAAAAGGAAAAGAGGAAAACATTTCTTAAATGACCCTTTTCGAGGACAGCAATAAAACGTAAATCAGGTTTTAAGTAAATTCGGCAAGAACTGGAAAAAATACAGCAGGAAGATTTTTTTCCACACTTAGTAGCACATACTGTACATTTTTTAGTGAATGTTTCAAACGTAAATCCTTACTCAAGCTAAAATTAAAGTTTCCAGTTCAGCAGCTGCTATTAGCATAAAGTACTTCAGATGCATGGTATCCTTAGTATTCTGACAAACTAATACTGTATATACATTGCATTGAAACCTCTATATTTAAGACCAATCTCACAAAGAACGTTTCAGAAAAAGGTTTTGTTTAGTTGAAGAAATACCTTAAAAATTCAAAGGACATAAAGGTATGGTGTATGTATTATTTATATAAACAAATAACATATTTATATAATACTGTATATAAATTATATAGGTATAAATTAGGGTAAAAATGTATTAGGCAATCTGGCAAACATTATTTAAAACTGAAACCTGATCATGTCAATTCCAACTTCCAATTGTGAAAGTCATACTAGTTCATCTTCTTACTGTCAGATTTGTTCTCCAGAGTACATACAGCGATAGCACTGACAGGGTGGTGGAAGCCAAGTGAGAGATTTCAACATTTAATGTGTTAAAACTTTGCCTTTTAATCTATTGATTAAATACTCCTGCAAATGCACACGGTCAGGCATGTGAAACACTATAATTGTTATAACTGCATTGTACCTGAACAGTGGAACTAATCTCAGATGCAAACCCTCCTGTCAGAGGGGCCTCGTGGCTGATCAGCAGTCGTCCAGTCTTTGCCACTGACTGAAAAAAAAAAAAAAAAAAAAAAGAATACCTCTTTTAAAAACAAAAATCAGTTAAAATTTGTGTGTTGCTATATTTCTGTAGAAAATTCTCACAGTACTTCATGAAAAATGATATAAATTCTGTAATTTTAAGCTGTAATGACAAAATACACATTTTCCCTTACTGGTTCAGTACAACATTTTATTTGCACGGATGAATGGGCCTAAAGAGCTATGTTCTGATATTAGCAGAATGAGAATGGGATGCTAGATTTCTTTGGGAACTGAGCATCAATATCATATTTTGTTTGCAAACTGATAATGAAGATGGAATTATATGCCATAGTTTAAATTGACCTTATCAAAGTAAATAATGACATTTCTGAAGAGAAACAAAAATAAAATAAAATAAAATAAAATAAAATAAAGAGTAAGGGCTTATTGTCCAGCTATACCAAGAGAGGAAGCACTTAATAAGCTTTTAGTTAGGCTGCAACTTTTGTTGTTAGATGTCTGGAACTACCTGGCAGATAAATGTGGAAAGATTCCCACAGTCATTTAATATCTACCCAGGGACTTCCACTTGTCCCCAACCCAATTTTTCCATGTAGGTACCCCACTCAACCCATTGCTGGGACTGTACCATCTCCCCCTTGAGACAGGGTTAAAGTGGGGTTGCCCCCCAGCCGTACCAGTTATAGAGGCCCTGAATGCCACCCATGTTACAGTCCTTTTATCAACACCTCCTTTTAAGTCCCTTACGAAGCCATTTATCCAGTCACTATATCCCTTCCCTGTGGAGTACCTACACTATACATCCACCTCATACTTACATAATGAGTTATGACATTAACTCATGAGGGCAGAGGACTGGACTCGATGACCTCTTGAGGTCCCTTCCAGTCCTAGTATTCTATGATTCTATGACATCACAGTCTAACTCTCCTCACCAATCACCATAACTAATCCCTCCCTGAACCAACTGTGGGAAGGCCAAAACAAAAAAATCTTCTGCCAATCTGGTGGTGAGGGAAAATTTCCTTCCAGACCCCTAGAAGAAAGCGGTGACTAATGCCCACAGCTGGTCCTGACCAAACCTGGTATTTTGCCACCTCAAAGGGAAGGAGTATGGATGATGCTCCACCTGCTTTTTCTGTCAGGCTTGCCCCTTTTCAATTCCCCACCTCTTCTGATCACTGGGGATGAGTCAGAATTGACCCACTAACTCCACTCCCCATTTGCAACAGCTTCTGAGCCTCTTCTTTCTGCCCTCGACCCCCTCTGTAGAGCACTGTATTCTTTCACCCAGAAAGCCAGACAATGGTCCCCCTCACTTCAAAGTGCAGTGAATTCTGAAGGCTTGTGTGATAACGTTTATAAGATCAAGTTCTACATAAAGCTCACAGACCGTGAAAATATTCCAATAAAAGTTTGCTTACTAAAGAAAATTGAGAATCCTAAGAAAGAAAACAATTTTTATGTTGCAATTATGGGTAAACTTTTTGCATGAAAGAAGACAGAAACAACATGCAAACATTAGATTTAATGTGAACTGATCAAAAAATAGTTACATGGCACATAATATGTACTGTGTGTGTCAAGCATGTAGTGGTTCATAAAATGTTTTATTTATAGCAGATATGTGTTTATGTTGGATTTGCTGCGAACCATATGGACAACAGTTAAGTGCCTTTAACCTGATAACCAATACAAGACTCCACTATAGCTGAACATCATGAAATGTGTTATTGTAACTATTTGCTAAATCTCCTTGACCTGGGCAACCAGAGAGACCCACAAAGTGAAAACAATTTGACCGTCATCTTTCATTTTTCATAATACCCATTTTATCATTTTGTAATGTGCATATAAAAGTTACATTAACTTCTGGAGTCGCACAACAGGAAAAAAAGTCTTATATATTCAACTTTTGAAGCCTATTGCAGTCAGATTTTTAAAGATAAGCACAAGAAGCCCAAAGAGTTAGTTATTGGGTGCAACTTTCCTAATAGTTCTGCAGAGGCTACTGTAGTATAACACTCATGGATAATTTCTCCATCTAATAGGGAAGCTAAACGGGTATTTCTTAAAACTAAAAAGGTAACTTCTATTTGCTATAGAACACAGATTAAACCCTGATTGGAATACTTCTCATTTCTTTAGGAGCCCAGGAGTGTTTTAGCGGTTTTGAACATCTGGATCACAGATGCATTGGCGAGAGGCAGACCAGTATGAGCTATATTCTGTAAATAAAGCAGTTTTGCAACAGTCACAGGGATACAAGACAGAAAAATCATTTAAATATTGGAAAGTAATCAGCAGTTAAACAGTCTTAAATTTCTTTTCACTTGCACTAAACACCCTTATTAAAAAACAGGAGATATGAACTACTCCACCAAGCTACCAAAAATTCCTAGAGACAGTTCCTCATTGCAAAGTGTATTAATCATCTCACTCAAGTTTTTGACTAACGAGATAAAGAATTTTATGGAACCTTTTTTTTTAAAACTAAAAGACACTTTGTTCCAATATTCTTCTTAATATAATTTTGTTCTCTGAGGGATGTGTACTGGAATTTGGAGTTTTCCAGGCTATTTTAAAATCTACATTACACTCTTTATTTTTGAGAATTTCACAACATGAAACGTACAGCCATCATATGACAGTAGAAAATAAGGACCCAACTGTGCAAACCCTTATTCCTGTGAGAAGTCCTTACTTGTACTATCAGTCCCATTGACTTGAAGAATATTTTACACATTGGGAGCAGACTGTTAGAAAGAATAAGGGTTTGCATTATTAGACTCTAAGGCTTCCTCTGATTGTTAAACCTGTATTAAAACTTGATGGAGATTGCCCCCAGTGCTGCATCACAAATGATGGCACTATTTCTCAGTAAAATGTCAACAACCAGATTACTGTGGAGAAGTGCTTCATACCATATGACCACTCAGAAGCTGTGCAGCTTGGAAAAGAGTAGCAGCATTTATGTTAACTACCGTGGTCCCCCTGGAATTGTTAAAACCATTTAATTTCTACATACCTGGAAACATATCTCTACTTTTAAAAACAACAAACTGATCAAAGGAACTGGGTGGATGCATTTCTTGTACCAAAGTTTAGTGAACCTAATGTATCTGTTTGAAAATGTGACAAGGAGTCATAGTATGAACTGCCTGATTTCTGTATTTGAAAAAAGCTTCAGCTTCACAAATAACTGTTAATTGTTGCTTGCAAACGGATAAAGCTTTGAGTAGAACATTATAGGATCGTTTATTTCTAAAAATTTTTAAAAGGGTTTATTCCCTGATAAACCTGAGGCCAAAGGCACTCCACATTTGTCTAGCCAAACATGTGGTTTCAGGAATAACTGAACACAATCCCACCTTTAAAAGGCAAAGGTGGTTCAAGAGGGTACCCTTATCAACCAAAGATACACTTACAATGGTAACAGCAGCTCAGTAATCAGCATAGCTCCACTGGCACAGAAGTGGAGAAGCATAGTACTGTGGATAATCAAGTGCTTATTTAAAAAAAAAATGTTGCTATCATTACCTTTTCTCCCCATCCCCACTCCGTCTGACATCCCTTAATAGGAGGGTTGGCGAAGAGTGTTAGAAAATAATGAATTTCACAATCCATGCCATAATTATTTTCTTCTCCTTTTTGCCTAGTGTTTGGTTTTTCTTCCTCACCCTCTATTTTATGGAACCTCTATCTAAATCTTGCTAGCTTCCATGTGTTCAAGCTAGAAAATACACACACATTTTACGTTATGTAGCATATTTAAAAATTTAAAAATACAGCATATACTAGATGGGTCAAAAGACTGCTGCCGAGATATAAAGCTCTTCTTTTCTAATTTAATCCAGGTTGCTCGTGATGGAACATGTGTTGCCATCTGACAGCTAATCAGGATCAAAGAAAAGCACTGCTGGTGTTTGCACTAATCCCTAAAATGCACCTTGCTGTCAGTTGCAACATAGTGGCTAAAGATTCAACAGGCTCAGAGACTTCAACTATCCTGGTCCTCACTAGGAAGTAGTCCTTCCCAGGCAGTGCTGAAGCAAAATTAGAAGGCATTGCTTTAAACTGTGGCTATTGCCTGTGCTGTGATATCTGCTCAATGGAGAAAGGGCTCAGGGCTCATGATTTCTAAATTCACCTTAAAAAGGAAAATATATATAAAAAACAATCAAAATTTACTTTTTCCTGCCTACTTCCCTATAGGGGTTGCTTTAAAATAGTCCAGTATGTTAGTAGGGAATATGATGATTACAAAGTAACATTCTGTCATTATATAAAAAAAGGAGTAGTTCTATCCTGATAAGGAAATATTGTAAAGCTTTAATATTTGCAAATCCAGTATTTGTGAACTGTGCCCTAAGGGTTTTCTGAACTATGGCGCTATGTTTTTGCAATGAAACATCTTTGAAAATCAGTTTCCCCTTCTCTCTCACCACTCTCTTTATCTAAAACATTCTATAATTATTTTATTACCATTTTCCTCCTGAATTCACAATTTATTATTTTGGCAGCTTTTTCCACACCTCCTAGTGCTGACAACAGAGGGAAATAATATGATTCTGGCAATTCTACAAGTTCTGAAATGTATGTGCTGACATCATCACTAACATACTATGCCCTTATTGATGAGAAAGCAGGCTTAACTAAAGCTGACTGTCAGCCAGCTGCATTTTACATTATTACTTTAAACATATCTCAAGGGCACAATTTCCATCGTAACCAGCTGGTTCATTACCAGGCCAATACCCCCCTAGGGAACCATGAAAAGCTAAAAGTACAAATTTTGCTACCCTCTTGTGTCATGTGGATAAATTGTGTTTATTTTCTAAGAACTAACAGACATCCATTCTCAGAGCAAAAAGATCTTCAGTCCTTTATATATAGGCTTGACAAAATCTGATGCCTATCTTTATAATTTTGACAGATAATATGGATGTTTTATTTTTAAGCATTTTTGTCCATTTTTATCAATTTACATTTTTACACTTGCAA